TTGTCTTTTTAAACCATTTTAACAGTTGCTCAGTCTCCCAGACTAAAAGTCAACCTTTTTGTCTGCCAGACTGAACACTTAACATTTATTGCATTTGGTCACAGTTGTGGTTCTAATTGTAGCAATAGCATCGGCAATAGATGATTTTTCATTGGCTGGTTCTTGTTCTGCAAATCACTATTTTTATGTACTGTATTTCAGACAATTCCAAAAACAACACAGTAGTTCTCCAATATTAAAGACATGAATCTAATCAAGTTGCCTGAAAGGGAGCGGGAGGAAGAGAACTATTTTAAAAATGTCCTCTACAATTATATAGTTATGAAATTACTTATTTAATAAACAAAAGCACGTTCATTGCTTCTGTCCGCTGCTTATAACTGTTTAAAGAGTTGTCCCAAACTCAATATGTGTAAATACATCAGCTGTTTGTAATAAACAATAACATTTGACCTGTTCTCCAATGGAGCAGCTCAGAGGCTGCGTCGAGAGCAATGTTATATTTGAGCTATTTTTAGATTTAAAATTGTGTTAAAACCTGTCGTTCTATGTCTGCATTTTAATACTACTCTCTATAAACACATCTGCACGAGATCCTACAGATGTGGAAAACAGAAACATCTAAAATCTGACTCCATTTGATTCCTTTTTACTTTAGTTATTAGAACAATTTAACCTTATTGATACTTATTTCCACAATAGAACTATTTTGATTATTCACTAGTCTAACTATTATTACTATTGTTTATTCTGACACCTCTTCTTAGCGACCTTTCAACCTATAGCTCCTTGAATCCAATGACATTATAGCTCCAGACTATTTCATTCTATTCTATTATTATCTTATTATTATATGATCTATTATCTTAAAGAGTAGATCTGCTTGATGTTATAAACGCTATTATTTCTCCTTTTGAATTTGCACCACACTAAATTTAGAATGACCCCCTATGGGACAAATAAAGAATTTTATTTTATTTTGGCAACTCCGAAAATTATTTAATAATTTTCCCATTTTGCTTTTAGGCTGCCCTTTCTATTATTTATTTGTTCTTGTAAATATATGTTTTACACTTCTTTCTAATGATTTAGAAGGTTAAGGACCATGACCACCTATGACAATAACATTATATACTCCCTCTCTTTGGTCGTGGGCCAAGTATAAAACATGTGTCTGTATGTGTGTGTAGATTACTGTTCCAATCATCTCCAGTTGTTCCTCCCGGATCGTCCTCAATTCATATTGTGGGCTTTGGTGCCAAAGTAGAGGCTCATTTCCTCTCCTGATCCGTGCTACTGTGTCATCCCTGAAGCAGGGGTAGTTTATCTTTTATCTGAAAAAGAAACATTAGAACACAAGAAATGCCCACTTCCCTGGCATGGTGCAGCCTGTCAATCTTTTTCCAATTGGGTAAAACATAACTGCATTGACAGACGGTGTGTGACATCAGGGCAGAGGCTGTAGCCAAATACAGACTTAACAAAATGTATGTTTCTAATTTTATACTCCCCTAAATGTGAGTTTACAAACCAAAGTTGTCCTTCAACCAACGACAGCTCACTGCGGTTGGACCGAATCACTGTCAGGACAAACAGCAGAGGGAGGGACTCCCAGTACCTTCAGCAAGGTATTCATCTCAGAGTACTTTCCGCAGAGTACTTTCTCAGAGTACTCATCCCAGAGTACTCTCACTTTTACACCTGTTCAATAAAGCTTGTTATCTTTGAATCTCTAGTACTTACACCGTATGCTGTTGACAAAAAAATAATTATTCCATTGAAGAAGATGTACCAAGTCTGGGATCGCGTCTTTCATTCAGACAGAAGACATGTTTTATTGTCAATGGTAGAGACAGCACGAACAAAACACACGATCACAGATACAAGAGAATGCAAGTGTATTATACAGAGCGGAGGCATGGAGACCTCCAATCAGCAGCTTCCACGGTGTGCTTGTAGCTTGGCCTTCAGATAGACAAAACAAGGGAAAAGTACTGGCTTCTGCACATTGATAGATTGATGAGTTTAACTTTAACAAAAGTTGCTTAAAAGTGTTATGAAATCTCATATTCCCCCCTCTGGTCATACATTCACGTGTGACCATCAGGATCGATAAACAGCAACATAACATCATAACTCAATACTTCAAAAACTCAAACTCGGTACTTCAAAAAACTCAGAACTCGGAATACTTCAAAAACTCATAAAACTCATAAAACATGTTCAGATCTTTCATAAAACTTGTCAACAATCTTCAGTAAAATACCAAACTTCATCAGTCGATGGTGGTTCCAGATATTGCTTTGAAAACAGTCTCTCCCACTTCTCCTGTTGGTTTCTTCAGGCTGCATTTGTGTCGAGCCATGAATTCTTCTGTGACGTGTCTTTCAATCACTCGTTTCAGCTTCAGTGTCCAGATTCAGCAATTCAATTCAGTCCAAATTATGTCCAAATTCAGAAATCCAGATTGTTCCAAATTATGTCCTTGCAAAAGAGGACGCTGGTATTGTCCATGTCTCAGCAGCTCACAGCCTGAGTGGAATCAGGGGCTGTGCAGATTGTCCAAGTGTGCTGGTCCAGATGCATTCTCTTGAGGTTTCTCAGTTTTGGCTTAAAAAAAAAACACTTTTTGTGTAAAAAAAAAGTAGTCTTCTGTTCTCTAGATGTTACAGACAATGCCCGCATCCTTCCACCACCTGAAGAAGATGACAAAGTCTGGGATCGCGTCTTTCATTCAGACAGAAGACATGTTTTATTGTCAATGGTAGAGACAGCACGAACAAAACACACGATCACAGATACAAGAGAATGCAAGTGTATTATACAGAGCGGAGGCATGGAGACCTCCAATCAGCAGCTTCCACGGTGTGCTTGTAGCTTGGCCTTCAGATAGACAAAACAAGGGAAAAGTACTGGCTTCTGCACATTGATAGATTGATGAGTTTAACTTTAACAAAAGTTGCTTAAAAGTGTTATGAAATCTCATACCATGATCACATTAAAACATTATAGAAAAACATTTGTTATTCCATTCTCCGTTCAGCACTCCTCATTTCACATCACACTCACAACACACTCACAACACACTCACATCACACTCACACAGGCCGACTCCCCACGTTAGTATATTGGTCCAGAGTTTGTTATGGTCAACGTAGTGTACTTGACATGACGCACAAACATATAACATACACAAACATATAACACACACAAACATATAACACACACAAACATATAACATACACAAACATATAACATACACAAACATATAACATACACAAACATATAACCCACACAAACATATAACATACACAAACATATAACATACACAAACATATAACCCACACAAACATATAACACACACAAACATATAGACAACACAGGAGGCCTGTAATTTTAACTTTGTTATATTTTTCCATGTCCAATTACAATTGTCTCATGAGCTATTTCTATTGTTGCAACTTTCAGAGCCTGCAGAACATGCAGAGCTTTAATAGATTTTTCCTAAAAGGATCCATTTCAAACTTTAGTGTTTAAACCACGTGGTCTTTGCTCGGGCTTGTCACAGACTGTGTCCCCTATATTTTTAATGAGCTCTTGCTGTGACATTGAAAACTCGTGCACGCGCTAAAAATGTTTTTCCCTTTTTTTTTTAGTAAAGCCAGTTCGGATTCATTAAAAATGTAAATTAGTTTCAAACTTTAATACTTCACCTTTGTTTCACGTTCATGTGGAGAAAGGACTATTATTGTACGTGTACTAACGTACTTGCACCAATCATGTCTCAGATAAACTGCCAACAGTTATATCAAAGACATAATTGTCCTAATTGTTTATAATTTATCTATTTGGAAGAGAAACATGTCATAAAAGATTTCATAAAATGTTTCTACATCCGTGTTTTCAACCAGTGGACCGTGGTGCGTTAGTGTGCCATCAAAAATGGTCCAATATCACCTTTAACCATGATTTAGAAATACTCTATTATTTTTCAAACTTTAATTGTCTGAACAAACCATTTTGTACTAAATGCAGCGTCCATTAAAAGCTGCAGTTCTCTTTCTAGCACCAGTCTCAACTGTGCATGTGATTGTTTTTAAATGATTAACGAGCCACGGTTCAGAGGTTGAAAACACTGCTTTAAATATCCGTATTACCAAGATCATGCAGTCAAAATCAATAATTCTAAACTTCTCCGCAACTATAACTTTAAATAACAATAATAGTTTTAATAATAAAGCTCATCTAAATCATGCACAAATATACTGCTGTTCTAATCTCCTTGTGTCTCATGCTAAAGTAAGAGTCTAATAATTTTGACGATTGTCTTGTAATCTTTCATGCAGCTAAATGTAGTGTTTTGAACGTATGACCTAAATGTGTTAATATGACCTAAATGTCCTTAATGTCTTGGTGCGTTTGTTGCCTGTCTGTATATTACCTTCTGTCTGTTTCCTTTTGCCAAGCCACGTCTTCCTCAAACGTCCGTTAATGTCTCTTTCTTTTACTCATGCCGTCTTTCAATGTCTTTTGTCTCAAAGTGTCCAATGTCTTTGTCTCAAAGTGTCCAATGTCTTTGTCTCAAAGTGTCCAATGTCTTTGTCTCAAAGTGTCCAATGTCTTTGTCTCAAAGTGTCCAATGTCTTTGTCTCAAAGTGTCCAATGTCTTTGTCTCAAAGTGTCCAATGTCTTTGTCTCAAAGTGTCCAATGTCTTTGCCTCAATGCCTTTTTTCTTCTTCTTTCAACAATCACTTTCTTTCTTCTTCCAATCTCTTTTTCTCATTATGTCTTTCTTCTTCTTTTCAATCTTTTTCTTCTCCTTTCAATAACTTTCTTTCTCAGATCTGACGCACACAAATGTGTCGTGTCTTTCGCTCGGTTCACACCGTTCCTCTTCGTGCACATAACTCCACTCGGTTTGTGCAAAAGTCTGGTTTTTCTCCATGGAATGGAGGCTGGAGGAGTCTTCTTTGAGAGTTCCTGTTAGCTGCTGCAGCCGATGCTGCTGTCTTTGCTGCCCCCTGTGGGTCGGGGGAGACGCTGATGGTCCGTGTTGATGGCGCTCGATTGAGGTCTTGTGGCAGACGATTTTGGCCAAATGAAACAGACAGAAGTTTTCTCAGAAAAAACAGACAAGAAACACAAACAAGTGTGTTAATTACCATACAAAACCAATGATTAATTACAAATCTAAATAAACCTATGAAATAATTAATATTAACATTTTAAACATTAGATTCTGAAAACCGAATTCTGCATTCAACTGCTATCCTAAGCCCTATTTTTCCAAAAGTATAATGCTCTCTAAGATCATTCTAACTTTTATATCACCAAAATGTAGGGAAAAAAATGTTTAATAACTTGTCCAGACGCCTTGGAGATAAAAAATAAAATAATGCCCCTTTATAATCTAACTCAAAGTTCTGTGATCCTATGACTCCATGTCAGTAACATTATCGAGTGTATAAATGTAATTTTCTACAAAAAAATATATTTGGTAATAGTTCTGTCTTCACGAGAGAGAGAGAGAGAGACAGAAAGAGGGAGGGGCCTCCCGAACAAAGGAAAACATGGACGTCTGAAATACATCCTCCTGTTAGCTACATTTTCCTCGTTTTTATCGTGACAAGGTCTTAATCAGTGGTAAAAGTTTTTCTCACGTCAAACGACACTTTACATTTTATCCTTAAATACGTCAGTAATGGAAAACATTACAATTTGCTTACATGACTAATGCATCACTAGGTACAGCCGGATCTTTTTCGTAATACCTCTGTAACTATTGAAACATTACATCAGAATAAGAGAAAAACTTCCATAACTGATCATTCTGGTCATTTCTCCACATGCAAACTCGTATTTACAGCCAAGTGGCTCCCCTTTTTTTTTCTCATTAATCAGATCATTATTATTCTATATACAGAATCCACATTTTAAATACTTGGCTTTTTTTTCTGTTTAAATGTACCCTTTTTCCCGCCCCCCGGAGGATATGGAGGTTTTATTATCCTATAACTTCTGACCCTAAAGCTGTCCCTATTTTCTAATTGTATTCCTATTTTCACTAAACACTTGTGCCTCTTTTGCACTCTAAACGGTGTGTCTCTTTTGCACTCCAAACGGTGTGCCTCTTTTGCACTCCAAACGGTGTGCCTCTTTTGCACTCCAAACGGTGTGCCTCTTTTGCACTCTAAACTCTGTGGACTTTCTCTTCCCTTTTTTTTTTTTGAGAGAGACCAAATCTCTCAAGGTTTAAAAACGTCGAAAAACCTGACTATTGTTCTATCGCGTCCGATAGAACGCCCGTCACGGCGGTCTGTCCACACTGCAGTCGTGTCGAGCCAAATTCTCTCTCTCTTCCATTTAAAACAATGTGCAGATTTTCAAAAGTATGATCTGCTTACCTCTTTTGAAGCAACTTTTTTGAAGAGAAGAGAGAATTTTCCAGGCCCACACAGACCCAGTCTATATCTGAGCTCATCTCTGTCCTGCTCCTGCACCATCACGTCGGGGTCACCAAAATGTTGTCAAAAATACCCTTTGACTGACGTGTTCAAAGTTTGATACAAAAAACAGACGAAGATATCCAAGTTTAACATCTGTATTTAATTTATCGTTACAATCAGATATATTCAACAAGAGAGCTCCTAAAACTATCCATGTCCCTCGCTGGCCCTGTGCTGACTCTGAGCCCCCGCCTCAAGCCAGAGCATATCAGCAGATGTCCAGGAAGAAGGGGGCGTGTCGTATCAGGCAGCTTCCGGTCCAGGGTCCGGCCTTTCCTCCGTCTGCCAGACCTAAAACAGAAATCATGCTTCCTAACCTAAGCTGTCACTAGTCTGGGATCAATCTCTGTTGTCTAAACAACTCCCCTAATTAGTCTCAACAGCCCGCTTTCCTAAAGAACAAACCTATGTGCAGTACAAACACATCACACTAATTAACCTAATATCTAAGTACATGAAATCACCTAACATATGAAGTAAATATATGTTAAGAAAGGTTATGTGTATTATCATATGACAAATGAGTAGACTTAGAAGACTCCAGTCATGTCAACCCACTCCTGATGGAGTGAGGTGAAAAGTGCAGAAGTCAGCAGGAGCAAGACTAGGGGGTGAAATCCAAACAGCAGAATCCATCTGTTGTTTAGTTGATGGCCCAAGAAGACACCTCTAATGTATAACAAAAGACTGGCCTCCAACCCAGAATTCCAGAGGTCACCAAACACATGCGTTTTAGTGTGTCAGGGTATTTATAAATACAACAAGAGGGAGACCTGCAGAGGGAGGCCTGCAGAGGGAGACCTGCAGAGGGAGACCTGCAGAGGGAGACCTGCAGAGGGAGGTCTGCAGAGGGAGGTCTGCAGAGGGAGACCTGCAGAGGGAGACCTGCAGAGGGAGGTCTGCAGAGGGAGACCTGCAGAGGGAGACCTGCAGAGGGAGACCTGCAGAGGGAGGTCTGCAGAGGAAGACCTGCAGAGGGAGACCTGCAGAGGGAGGTCTGCAGAGGGAGGCCTGCAGAGGGAGACCTGCAGAGGGAGGTCTGCAGAGGGAGGTCTGCAGAGGGAGGTCTGCAGAGGGAGACCTGCAGAGGGAGACCTGCAGAGGGAGGTCTGCAGAGGAAGACCTGCAGAGGGAGACCTGCAGAGGGAGGTCTGCAGAGGGAGACCTGCAGAGGGAGGTCTGCACAGGGAGACCTGCAGAGGGAGGTCGGCAGAGGGAGACCTGCAGAGGGTGGTCTGCACAGGGAGACCTGCAAAGGGAGACCTGCAGAGGGAGGTCTGCAGAGGGAGGTCTGCAGAGGGAGGCCTGCAGAGGGAGACCTGCAGAGGGAGGCCTGCAGAGGGAGACCTGCAGAGGGAGGCCTGCAGAGGGAGACCTGCAGAGGGAGGTCTGCAGAGGGAGGTCTGCAGAGGGAGGCCTGCAGAGGGAGATCTGCAGAGGGAGACCTGCAGAGGGAGACCTGCAGAGGGAGACCTGCAGAGGGAGGCCTGCAGAGGGAGACCTGCAGAGGGAGCCTGCAGAGGGAGGTCTGCAGAGGGAGGCCTGCAGAGGGAGACCTGCAGAGGGAGGTCTGCAGAGGGAGGTCTGCAGAAGGAGGCCTGCAGAGGGAGATCTGCAGAGGGAGACCTGCAGAGGGAGACCTGCAGAGGGAGACCTGCAGAGGGAGGCCTGCAGAGGGAGACCTGCAGAGGGAGGTCTGCAGAGGGAGGTCTGCAGAGGGAGGCCTGCAGAGGGAGATCTGCAGAGGGAGACCTGCAGAGGGAGACCTGCAGAGGGAGACCTGCAGAGGGAGGTCGGCAGAGGGAGACCTGCAGAGGGAGGTCTGCACAGGGAGACCTGCAAAGGGAGACCTGCAGAGGGAGGTCTGCAGAGGGAGACCTGCAGAGGGAGGTCTGCAGAGGGAGACCTGCAGAGGGGAGACCTGCAGAGGGAGGTCTGCAGAGGGAGACCTGCAGAGGGAGGCCTGCAGAGGGAGGCCTGCAGAGGGAGGTCTGCAGAGGGAGACCTGCAGAGGGAGGCCTGCAGAGGGAGACCTGCAGAGGGAGGCCTGCAGAGGGAGGTCTGCAGAGGGAGACCTGCAGAGGGAGGCCTGCAGAGGGAGGCCTGCAGAGGGAGGTCTGCAGAGGGAGACCTGCAGAGGGAGGCCTGCAGAGGGAGACCTGCAGAGGGAGCCTGCAGAGGGAGGCCTGCAGAGGGAGACCTGCAGAGGGAGGCCTGCAGAGGGAGGTCTGCAGAGGGAGACCTGCAGAGGGAGGTCTGCAGAGGGAGACCTGCAGAGGGAGGTCTGCAGAGGGAGCCCTGCAGAGGGAGACCTGCAGAGGGAGACCTGCAGAGGGAGGTCTGCAGAGGGAGGTCTGCAGAGGGAGGTCTGCAGAGGAAGACCTGCAGAGGGAGGTCTGCAGAGGGAGACCTGCAGAGGGAGACCTGCAGATGTTGTGTAGAGCAAAGAGGACAAAGTAATAGGTTTAAACCAAATCACATCCACACTGTGTGTGATTCACATGTTGTAAAACATGTCAAGGCAATATGGGCTACGTGTGCTGCCTAAGGACAAAACTGTGTCAGTCTCTGAGATCCGTCAGGATCAGGCTTTCAGGAGAGAATCTTGAATGACAAGCCTCCCTGGGGTCTGTGGTGCCATTGCCAGGGTCCATGCTCGGCCTATCATCTATATTAATTCTGTAGCACACAGAGATCTATCTTCAAATCCGATTCCACGCTCAGCTCCATGGTTCCATAGAGTGGTACAGGATGGGTTATTCCCCACTCTCCACTTTCCTTTCACATTATTCCTGGCCCCAGCAGAGTATTCTCCATCATGTCAGTGTAATGTAGCACACAGAGGCAATCATGCTTCTCCTTTGGCCTCAGGGCCAACAGTAAAATGCAACTTTTGCAGTTAATCATCTCAGCTATAGCAGTCTGTGGAGATAATACCACACAATATGTGTGCAGCTCCCTGATGGAGGCCTGCTGCTTCTGCGGCTCTCAGCTCAGGTTTCCTGCTCGTCCATTTCCATTTAGAGTTCAGTGAATGTGTTTAAAAACCACTGCATACACATCAGCACAGCTCATGTGGAAACTCTGCTGGATGCTACGGTACCTGCTGCAGTAGTACCAGCAGTTACTATCCAGATGTTCCAGTTTAAAGTCTGTGTAAGACAGGGGTGTCCAAACATTTTAGTAACAGGGCCACTTTTGTTCACCAGATTAGTGAACTAAAGTGGCTACACCAAGACTGATCTGTAATTAAAAACGAGAAATGTACTCGTGTCTGTTTTGGTAGTTGCTAAAATCACATGGTTTTCATTTCTAAATGACGTGCAGTTGGTTTAACTATCCCTCTCAGTCTCCATGATTCTACAGCAGCACAGATTCTAACACCCTCTGGCCCAGTGCCAACAGCTCTCTGAATACTAATGGGAGGGCATGAAAAGAGTCGACCACAGTGACCTCAGGTGTGCGGCGGGAGACGGGGAGAACACTGAGGCTGCATCAGACGGACGCTCCCAGTGGAAGACCCAGAGCTCAATACTCTTTGGAGGAGACACACATGAGGGCAGCATTTTCAGGAATATATTGAGAGAACAAAGTCACATATTTTCATTATAGCTGGTTGATGGTTTTACAAAATCCAAATGGTTTCAGATTTCCAACATACAATCAACCTTGGATATGGATGTAGTAACAACAACCACATCAGCGATTTCTACAAACACTGTTAAGCCTAAAAGTTATTGTAGGAGACAGATCAGAGCGTCTGCGGATACCCTGCAAAAAGTGATGAAATTGAGTCAACAATTGCTAAAAATTTGGAATAATGTGCCTTCATTTGAGCAAATTTTTACTGTGCCTAAAACAAGCACGTAAGAACATATTTTCTATAGTAACTGTTGTATACATTAGTCACATGTTCTATAGTAACTGTTGTATACATTAGTCACATGTTCTATAGTAACTGTTGTATACATTAGTCACATGTTCTAAAGTAACTGTTGTATACATTAGTCACATGTTCTATAGTAACTGTTGTATACATTAGTCACATGTTCTATAGTAACTGTTGTATACATTAGTCACATGTTCTATAGTAACTGTTGTATACATTAGTCACATGCTCTATAGTAACTGTTGTTTACATTAGTCACATGTTCTATAGTAACTGTTGTATTAGTCACATGTTCTATAGTAACTGTTGTTTACATTAGTCACATGTTCTATAGTAACTGTTGTATACATTAGTCACATGTTCTGTAGTAACTGTTGTATACATTAGTCACATGTTCTATAGTAACTGTTGTTTACATTAGTCACATGTTCTATAGTAACTGTTGTATTAGTCACATGTTCTATAGTAACTGTTGTTTACATTAGTCACATGTTCTATAGTAACTGTTGTATACATTAGTCACATGTTCTGTAGTAACTGTTGTATACATTAGTCACATGTTCTATAGTAACTGTTGTATACATTAGTCACATGTTCTATAGTAACTGTTGTATTAGTCACATGTTCTATAGTAACTGTTGTATTAGTCACATGTTCTATAGTAACTGTTGTTTACATTAGTCACATGTTCTATAGTAACTGTTGTTTACATTCGTCACATGTTCTATAGTAACTGTTGTTTACATTAGTCACATGTTCTATAGTAACTGTTGTTTACATTAGTCACATGTTCTATAGTAACTGTTGTATACATTAGTCACATGTTCTATAGTAACTGTTGTATACATTAGTCACATGTTCTATAGTAACTGTTGTTTACATTAGTCACATGTTCTATAGTAACTGTTGTTTACATTAGTCACATGTTCTATAGTAACTGTTGTATACATTAGTCACATGTTCTATAGTAACTGTTGTATACATTAGTCACATGTTCTATAGTAACTGTTGTATACATTAGTCACATGTTCTATAGTAACTGTTGTATTAGTCACATGTTCTATAGTAACTGTTGTATACATTAGTCACATGTTCTGTAGTAACTGTTGTATACATTAGTCACATGTTCTATAGTAACTGTTGTTTACATTAGTCACATGTTCTATAGTAACTGTTGTTTACATTAGTCACATGTTCTATAGTAACTGTTGTATACATTAGTCACATGTTCTATAGTAACTGTTGTTTACATTAGTCACATGTTCTATAGTAACTGTTGTATACATTAGTCACATGTTCTATAGTAACTGTTGTATACATTAGTCACATGTTCTATAGTAACTGTTGTATACATTAGTCACATGTTCTATAGTAACTGTTACATTAGTCACATGTTCTATAGTAACTGTTGTTTACATTAGTCACATGTTCTATAGTAACTGTTGTATACATTAGTCACATGTTCTATAGTAACTGTTGTTTACATTAGTCACATGTTCTATAGTAACTGTTGTTTACATTAGTCACATGTTCTATAGTAACTGTTGTATACATTAGTCACATGTTCTATAGTAACTGTTGTATTAGTCACATGTTCTATAGTAACTGTTGTTTACATTAGTCACATGTTCTATAGTGACTGTTGTTTACATTAGTCACATGTTCTATAGTAACTGTTGTTTACATTAGTCACATGTTCTATAGTAACCTTTGTATACATTAGTCACATGTTCTATAGTGACTGTTGTATACATTAGTCACATGTTCTATAGTAACTGTTGTATACATTGGTCACATGTTCTATAGTAACTGTTGTATACATTAGTCACATGTTCTATAGTAACTGTTGTATTAGTCACATGTTCTATAGTAACTGTTGTATACATTAGTCACATGTTCTATAGTAACTGTTGTATACATTAGTAGTAGTAGTAGTAGTAGTTTATTTGTTCAGTCACTTTTTCACAACTCAGACAATACAGATCATTTGAAAAAAAATAAAGTAAAAGGTAAAGTTGACTGAAAGGGTTTAGGCTGAAGTGAAACACTTATAGAAGCCTAACCCTACTATAGCTTACTATAACCAGAACAACTAAAACAGCAACAATTAGCTTTCAGCATGGAAAAACAATAGAAAATACATATCTATATTTTTGCAGAAAAGACATGTAGGTAAATGAGGATTCATACAAATTGTTTTGATGATATAAACAATATTATAATGGTAATAAAAATAATAATAATAATGTTGATAATTGCTTTAATATTATTTATTTATTCTAATTCTCTATATTTATTTATAACATGAATTTTAAGGACATTTTTGAAAATCTTGATGGATGTAGTTTTCTTTAGTGACTCATCCAGACCATTCCAGACAGCAACTCCTCTAACTGAGACACATCTACACTTTGCTTTGGTCCTGGCAGTGACCCTTTGGTAAATGTCAGTTCCTCTAAGATTATAATTTGATTCTCTGATGTTGAACCTTTCCTGGATGCATTTAGGGACATTCTGATTGTGAACATTGTACATGACAACTGCTGTATTTAGGTCAACTATATCATGTAATTTTAGGGTATTTTATTTTATAAATAATGGATTTGATGATGAATAATAGTCTGCACAATTGATTATTCTGATTGCTTTCTTTTGCATTAAGAAGAGAGGCTGAATTGAGGTTTTATAATTATTCCCCCACACAACCACACAATAATGCAAGTATGGCAGTATTAGTGAAGTGTATAATAAGTGTAATGATTTTTTGTTAACAATTTTTTTAATTTTGCACAATATTCCAATCATTTTAGATATCTTTGTCTTCAAGTATTCTATATGTATTTTCCAGTTAAGTTTTGCATCAATGTTAACTCCCAAGAATTTTGTGTTGTACACCCTCTCTATTTCAATTTGATCTATATTTAATTTGGTCGGAAAGCCAATTTTTTTATTACCAAAAATAATATATTTAGTTTTGCTCACGTTCATTGATAATTTATTGTAATCAAACCATTTCTTTAATATTAATAGTTCATTTCCAGTTTTTTCCATAAGCTGCTCAAGATTTTGTCCTGAACAGTAGAGACTGGTGTCGTCTGCAAACAGAATACAGTGCATAGTTTTAAGGACCTCACAGATGTCGTTGATGTACAATATAAACAATTTAGGCCCAAGGACTGAGCCCTGTGGGACTCCGTGTGTGGTTAGGTTTTTATCTGAATTAACATTATTGACCGTAACATATTGATCCCTGCCTGTAAGATAGTTTTTTAACCAGTCGTGAGCAACTCCCCGGACACCATAGCGTTCCATTTTGGCTAATAATAAATCGTGATTGATGGTGTCAAAGGCTTTGCTCAGATCAATAAAAACTCCAACTGTATACTCGCATTTGTCAGTCGCAGTTGAGATTGCTTCAACCAGCTCCATAACTGCCATTGCGGTAGATCGGTTTGATCTGAAACCAAACTGGTAGTCGCTTATAATGTTATGCTTACTGCAGAATTCATCTAACCGAATAATAAATAACTTTTCCAAAATTTTTGAAAACTGTGAAAGGAGTGAAATTGGTCTGTAGTTATTGAGTTGATGTGGATCACCATTTTTGAAAATTGGTATTACTTTAGCGGTTTTCATTTTGGATGGAAAGATGCCTGTGAGAAAGGACTGATTACAAATGTAAGTAAAGGGTGAAACAATACAATGAATTATATTTTTTACAAACATGATATCAAGATTGAAACTGTCAGTGGACTGCTTATTTTTAAATGTTCTCACAATGTTAATGATTTCATTTTCCTCCACACATCTCATGTAGAAAGAGTTAACATTTCTTTGTACGTTAATAATATTGACATCATGGTCTTCTAACGGTGGAGAAATTGTTCTGGCGAGAGTGGGTCCGATATTTACAAAAAAATCATTGAATGCGTCTGCTATTTCTTTATTATCATTCATGATTTGGGTTTTATTCACAAAATAGTTTGGGTGATCTTTTTTGGTTCCATTTTTGAGTAAACCATTTAATATTTTCCATGTACCTTGCATGTTGTTTTTATTCTGCTCCAATCTTTTATTATTGTAATCTTTTTCACTGGTTCTTATTATGTTTATCAACTTATTTTTATATATTTTATATCTTTTATCAGCTTCTTCAGTCCTGGATTTTAGGGATAATTTATAAAGGTGGTTTTTCTTTTTACATGCGTTTATGATGCCTTTGGAAATCCACGGTTTTTCTTTCTTGCCTGATTCTTTGCTGATACACTTCTTTGGAGGGCAGTATTTATCATAAAGGCCTACCAGTTTGGTCAAAAAACGATCATAGGCCTTATCAGGGTCTGTTGTGTCGTAGACCTCATCCCAAGTCTGGTTGAATAGATCTGTCCTTAAGGCGTCCATGGCTTCAGGGGTCCTGTGTCTTATCATTTTGTATTTGATTGTTTTGGGTGTAGTTTGCTTTTTAAGGATCTGGTGAAATATGCTAAACACAGGAAGGTGATCGCTAATGTCATTAATTAATAATCCAGCAGTTATTTTTGTTTCAAGACCATTTGTAAAAATATTGTCAATTAATGTTGCAGTTTCACATGTAATTCTTGTTGGTTTTGTAATGAGTGGAAATAGATTGTTACTGTACATAGTTGTAATGAATTCATTAGTTGGTGTGTTGTTATTAGGATTCAACATATTGATGTTAAAATCACCACAGACGATATGTACTTTTTTTATATTGCTAAATAATCTATCAATGTTCTGGTTAAATATGTCTATGCATGACCCTGGTGTCCTGTACAGACAACTGATAATTATATTTTTTGTTTTATCTACCTCGATTTCAACACTGATACACTCGAGAACGCCATCAATTGCCACTGATTTACTTTTCACTAGATTACATTTCAGATCCGTATCCACAAAAAATGCAACCCCACCACCCTTTCTGTTTGTCCTATTGACAGTAAACAATTCGTATCCTTCAAATTCAACTTCACTATTTTGTTAGTATCTAACCAAGTCTCTGAAACTGCTATGACATTAAATCTATTGAATTGATTGAGATAATCTTTAATATTGTCAATATTTTTATACAAACTCCTACTGTTGAAATGAATTATACTGAATGCACCTACTCTATTTATGTCACAGAATTGTTCATTTAAATAATACTTACAGTCCTTCATCAAGTCATTATAAAAATTATTATCAGGATCGATATCCCCACCAAATTCATTCATTTTGTAGTTCAAGGTGTCAAATAATTCAAGATTTATCTGTTCGAAATCTGTTGTGGTGTCACTTTGATTAAGTAAATCAATATTTTCAAATTCTTTCTCATATTCATCTCTAGACTCTGTCATCTCTGTTGAGTTTGGTATTGCATCATCATAAAGCAACTCTTTACAACTGCACGCACATATTTGTACTGATCCACACAAACAGACACACATTTGTACTGATCCACACAAACAGACACACATTTGTACTGACCCAAACAAACAGACACACACATTTGTACTGACCCAAACAAACAGACACACACATTTGTACTGACCCAAACAAACAGACACACACATTTGTACTGACCCAAACAAACAGACACACATCAGACCTACGTACACACATCCAAACATACTCGCGCACACACACATTTGAATAGAACATGTAAACAAGGGAAAAATAAAAATAAAAAAAGTCAAATTTGATTTCCAACACATGAATAAAAAATCCATTGATGAGAGTAACCAACGCGCTGAGATGAATGCACTGCATCCAAAATGCATTTCTCAATTCGACAACAAAAAAGGCATATCCATGAACAATCAAAAATCCACATAAATCACCAAGCGTCCAGTTAATTTGTGTGTTACAAAAAAGAAAAATAATCCATCCTCTGACTCGCTCAGAGATTGACAGTACACACTTGTACCCCCAATAGAAGTCAGTAAGGTCCATTTGTTTGTCCTCTCTAACGATAACAAAAAACAATGGAACTCCCAAAATCACAAAAAAAAATGCAGATCTTCATCATTTAGTATAAAGTAGTTAACGAAATTGTTCAAGGTCGTGTAGATCTCTTACCATCATTACTCTTGCTTGTTCCGGTGTATTTCCTTTTAGTTGTATGAAAACCTTACAGTTCCTTGTCCAGGTTGCTCTGATTTTGTCATTTTTCCTCAGAAAGCGGGCTTCACGGGCCATCTCTGCAGTCTTCTTAGTAAGATGCTCATTAATATAAACAGCAGACCCTTTAAGCTTCTTTCCCTGGCGCAGTAAGTCCACTTTGTGTTTGCGGTTTGCAAAACGCATGATTATGGCAGGTTTTCCAGCATCTCTCCTGGGGAGCGTGTGGCAGGCTGCGATGTTCTCAGCGTTGACATGAATGTCCTTTTCCCTGAGAAAAGACACTACCTGTCTCTCCAGTGTCTGTAGATCCTCCGTGTCAGCGTCCGCACTGACATTTCTCCCCCCTGCTGCAGCTTTGGCATAGGAGCGGGGTTTCACACTCAGGCCAGTGATTATAACATCATCCATTCGTGTGTATTGTTCAAGTTGATCCACTCTCTTCTCAAGTTCGGTTATTGTTTTATCCTTTTCTTTGATAAGGTCCTTCAGTTGTTTTACCTCATCAAACAGTTGCATTAGCTTTGTCAGCTGTTGATTCACTTTAGGCAACTCCTCAGATACCTGTCCAAGTGATTTTCTGATGTCCTCCATTTCAATCTCCATTTCCTTGCTGATTGCTTTCTTTGGTGGCATATCCAAGTTTTTCTTTCACTGTAACATTTACTTTGTTTTTGGATTTTGCAATAAATCACACTTTTTAGTCACTCAAAGTTACAGCAGTTCCACAGGGTGCCGCCAGAAGGAGGAAGGAAACCTGTTTGGAACTAAATAATGTTCAGTATTTAACCATGTTACATTGTTCTGTATCAAAAATAAACCTAAGATACACTGCAAAAAGTGTTAAGTAATACATCTAAAAATGCTCAAATTTGTCAAAATGTGTCTTTGCATTTTACAGACCAAAGCGCTTTACAATGTTCAGAGTTCAGATATTGTTCCATTCTCTCCACACGGTGAAGCGAGACCTGAACACACTGGTCCATCAAAGCCTCCGACCAAACACCCTCCGTTCACTCATTCACTCATTCCATTCAGACATGGTACATGGTTTTGGTTGGAAGGGGAAACCGGAGCACTCGGAGGAAACCTATGCGGACATGGGAAGAACATGCAAACTCCACTCAGAGAGGCCCTGTTCCGACCGGGAATCGAACCCAAGACCTTCTTGCTGAGAAGTGAGTGTGCTAACCACGCTAACCAGGAAAGGTGGCTGAGTATAACAAGAACCAGAAGGAACCGTATTATAAAATAAATGTGTAACATGGGTAAAAACTACAAAAGTGGTTAAACACAGCCTCAGGTCACACACTCTCCACAGCGGGTCAGAGCGGAGCAGGAGCCACAGTGAGTGAGATGGAAGGCCTCACCTATAGACTCGCCCCGGGACAGGTGAGCGATGGGGGAGGCACAGGGGTGGTAGCGCCCTCCACTGGCCTGGGGGTGGTACAGGTAGGTGCGCGTGGGCGAGGCCAGGCTGTGGTAGTGCTGAGGCTGGAGCGAGTCCAGGGAGTGGATGGGGTGAGCTGAGATGACCGCTGCGTACGACACATGAAGCAATGACACACAATGACACACAATGACACACAATGAGACACACAATGACACACAATGAGACGCAATGAGACGCAATGAGAGAGAGAGGAGAGGGAGGAGAGAGAGGAGAGAGAGAGGAGAGAGAGGAGAGAGAGAGAGAAGAGAAGGAGGAGAGAGGGGAGAGAGAGGAGAGAGAGGAGAGAGAGGAGAGAGAGAAGAGAGAGAGAGAGAGAGAGAAAGTGTAAGTGGTTGGAAATAATAAATTATTTGTCTAGCACAGCTCATACAAAAGGTAAAGCATTAATATCATATGATGTTACATACATCTCTCTCTGGTCTCTCTCTGGTCTCTCTCTCTGGTCTCTCTCTCTGGTCTCTCTCTGGTCTCTCTCTGGTCTCTCTCTCTGGTCTCTCTCTCTGGTCTCTCTGGTCTCTCTCTCTGGTCTCTCTCTGGTCTCTCTCTGGTCTCTCTCTGGTCTCTCTCTGGTCTCTCTCTGGTCTCTCTCTCTCTCTCTGGTCTCTCTCTGGTCTCTCTCTGGTCTCTCTCTGGTCTCTCTCTGGTCTCTCTCTGGTCTCTCTCTGGTCTCTCTCTCTGGTCTCTCTCTCTGGTCTCTCTCTGGTCTCTCTCTGGTCTCTCTCTCTGGTCTCTTTCTAGTCTCTCTCTGGTCTCTTTCTAGTCTCTCTCTGGTCTCTCTCTGGTCTCTCTCTGGTCTCTCTCTGGTCTCTCTCTCTGGTCTCTCTCTCTGGTCTCTCTCTCTCTCTCTTTGAGTCTTTGAATATGTACTGTTGTGTATTTGAGGATTCCGCTCCATGTCTCTCTTCAAACGGTTCTCCTTAATCTAGTTCATGATGACAAAATACTGTGCATTTTAAATCCAGGCTGATCCATAATTGATGCGGTGCAGAGGAGGCAGATCTCGCTTAGACTCACACTCAATCTATAAAATATTATGTCTTTATGTGTTAAGATCTGCACAGAACCATCCGTCTGCTCCACCATGGTACCACAACGATCAGTTATAGGAGCAGCGGGTTTCTCTCTTTACCTGTAGGAAGTGAGTTATGCTAACGCTAGATTTTATACTAGCTTCTGTATTATGCTAAAGATATAGATTTTACACGAGCTTGGTCCCTCTTTCTGGTCTCTCTCTGGTCTCTCTCTCTGGTCTCTCTCTCTGGTCTCTCTCTCTGGTCTCTCTCTGGTCTCTCTCTCTGGTCTCTCTCTGGTCTCTCTCTCTGGTCTCTCTCTGGTCTCTCTCTCTGGTCTCTCTCTGGTCTCTCTCTCTGGTCTCTCTCTCTGGTCTCTCACTCTGGTCTCTCTCTCTGGTCTCTCTCTCTGGTCTCTCTCTGGTCTCTCTCTGGTCTCTCTCTGGTCTCTCTCTGGTCTCTCTCTCTGGTCTCTCTCTCTGGTCTCTCTCTCTGGTCTCTCTCTCTGGTCTCTCTTACTTCTTCTGGTGTGAGTTGGTGCGTCTGGTACAGAGGAAGGCTCCGACGATGACTACGATGATGGTGAAGGCTCCGACCGAGATGATGACGATGACGAGCAGGTGGTTCTCGTTACTGGGGACTCCTGCGGATCAAAGGTACAAGTCCCTGTGAGTCACAATCTGATCTGACATCATTAAAGGGCCCTAATCCGTCATCATTAAAGGGCCCTACTCTGTCATAATTAAAGGGCCCTAATCTGTCATCATTAAAGGGCCCTAATCCGTCATTATTAAAGGGCCCTAATCTGTCATCATTAAAGGGCCCTACTCTGTCATCATTAAAGGGCCCTAATCTGTCATCATTAAAGGGCCCTAATCTGTCATCATTAAAGGGCCCTAATCCGTCATCATTAAAGGGCCCTACTCTGTCATAATTAAAGGGCCCTAATCTGTCATCATTAAAGGGCCCTAATCTGTCATTATTAAAGGGCCCTAATCTGTCATCATTAAAGGGCCCTAATCCGTCATCATTAAAGGGCCCTACTCTGTCATAATTAAAGGGCCCTAATCTGTCATCATTAAAGGGCCCTAATCTGTCATTATTAAAGGGCCCTAATCTGTCATCATTAAAGGGCCCTAATATGTCATCATTAAAGGGCCCTAATCTGTCATCATTAAAGGGCCCTAATCCGTCATTATTAATTTAATGATCTTTAATTTGCTTATTTGCCTTATGGGATCTAAGTGCTAACTGTTGTCCCTGGGCACATGGCAATCACCTCAATGTGAAAAATGCTGTATTCAAAAGCACCTGCCCTACAGCCTTTCCATTTCCAGGGCAACTTCCAGTACAATTGAACAATGATATAAACTTGTCTCCAGCTCTGCCCAGAGACTTCCCAAAACTCAAATTTTTGTTTGCTTTGTTCTATCTCACTAATTCATTACATGGAGGTGCTTCAACATGTCCAAGAATTGACAGTAGGCCTATATCAATTGCTAAACAGAGGGTATTGATTGCCTTACTTCTTTTGTTGGCTGGAAATGTGCATCCAAATCCCGGACCTGAGCTTCAATGCTCCCAGACACCTTCTGACTTCAAATCATTGTCTGGTCTTAAATGTATTCATCTTAATGTACGGAGCCTACTGCCAAAGATGGACTCTGTTAGAATCTGGGTGAAATCAACAGATGCAGATGCTGTTATCATTTCAGAAATTTGGCTTATTAAGTCTATTTCAAACATAGACATTAACATTCTTGGGTACAATGTTTACCGCACTGATAGGCCTAAGAAAGGTGGAGGTGTAGCTATCTATGTTAAATCCAAATTTAATTCCTCAATTATTCTTTCTCAATCAATCAGTAAACAAATGGAATTATTGGCCTTGAATATTGAAATAGTAAAATCGCTGCACATTACAGTAGTTGGGTGCTACAGGCCTCCATCTGCCTCAAAGGAAGCGCTAGGATCATTAAAACAGCTTTTGGATGGGTTAAATTTCTCTGAGTTGCTTATGGCAGGAGATCTCAACTGGGATTGGTTAAGTGCAACTTCTGATGAATTTAAAAGGTTTTGTGATTCTATTAATCTCACGCAGTTAGTTCCCTCTCCCACCAGGCCCAATCCCAAAAGTCCAGATAAATCTACCCTGATTGATTTGATTTTGACTAATGTGCCTCAGAAGTTCTCCTCTGTGGGTGTCTTCTGCAATGACTTAAGTGACCATTGTGTTGTGGCTGCGTGCAGGAACACTAAGATTCCTAAGTGCAAACCCTGTATTGTTTGTAGAAGGAATCTGAAACATTTTAATGAACAAGCCTTTCGTCATGATTTGTCCATGCTGGATTGGAAACGATTAGATCTAATACCAGATGTAGAGCTTGCTTGGACTTTTTTAAAGACATCTTCATGCAAGTAGTAAATAAACATGCTCCTTTGAAGAAATACAGGGTAAAGGGGTGAGAAAACCCATGGTTCTCTCCAGACCTGGCAGACAGCATTCATGAGCGTAATAAGGCGTGGGACAAGGCAAGACAGAATAACCTGGCCACTGATTGGACCTTTTTTAGACAGCTTCGAAATAAATGCACCTTGCTTGTAAAAAAGGCCAAAGCAGAATATTACTTGTCCGTTACCGCTGAGAACCTCAACAATCCTCAGAAATTCTGGAAAGTGATCAAGTCTCTATCTGTGGATATAAAAGAGACTCTTCCGACATTTGTATTTAAAGACTCTGTCCCAGTTTATGACAGAACTGAAATCTTAAATTGCTTTAACCAGCATTTTTTTGTCATCTGGTTCTCTACCTGACGTTTACAACAAAAAAATAGGGGATCCTTTTGCAGATTGTCCCATGTTTTCTGGAGATTGTTTTAACTTTGATCCTTTCACTTGTCAGGAAGTGCACAAAGCTGAGGGGGGCGGCTGGGTGCAGGGGCGGGCCTTTATAGAGGAGGGTGGCTGGTGATTGGAGCAAATTATTTGATCTCTCTGGCAGTGTGACCTGGGGGTCACGAGCGAGATCCCACTTGCGAAGTCCTAATGGGATACGCACTATTCGTAGAAACTTAAGATACATAGGTAACTATTAAATACTTGCATTTGCTAAATGAATCTTAGCTAAGGGTGGTACATTATTGAGCATCTTGCTGTCTCTTCTCGCAATAGTCTGATACAGTGACCGCGATTACCACACATGCTGCACAAATCCGTTCTGTATCTCACTGCATGCTCCATCCTTCCCTCATGAGAACAAGACCTAATGAGACTGTAATCCTCCACTTGAGGAGGAAAACCTCAGTATCAGAATCAACACGTAACCAAACAGCAACACGTAACAGGTCCATCTTTTTTTACACACACAAAGAATTATTGCAATTCACATTCTGTACAGCTTTTGGCAGCTGGCATCAACTCGTCAGTGGTTCTCAAACTTTTGCACCATGTACCAACCTCAGACAATTCTTTCCTCTCCAAGTTACCACCAAAAAAGACCAACATGACGTTGCGTTGTAAGCTAAGTATTCATCCAGAACACGGCAGAGGTTCAATCCTAAAGAAGTATAATTTAAATATAGGAGCCATTGTAACATTTTACTCATTTTCAACAGTATAACTGTGCTTAAATATAGAGAAAGAAACAACTAAAACCTGTACTTAAATAATTGATTCAATTTAAATTTTCAATTTCATTACAAACTGTAAAAGCCTTGATCACCACCTGGTGAATTCTATCACGCGTGGGATGGCGTCTTTGTCACCAGAGGGGTTTGGACACGGGTGCACTTTTGTTTATACGGCTAGGTCTGGCTGGCCTCTTACAGTACATCTGCCATTTTACTCCACACAAAGTAGGATGTTGGTTCATATGGTTTGCGATCACATGATCTTTTGTTGTTCTCTGTTCCCTTGCCCGACAGAACTGGGAAAATACTTTTGATATATATCCCCCCCCCCCCCCCCCCCCCCCACTAACTTGTTACGACCCAGGCTCTAGGCGTAACATAAACAGAAGGGGAGGACAACGGCCAATGTTCAGAACCCTCGTAGGGCATTTATTGCATACTCATAATCAGAATCAGAATCTTTTTTATTGCTCGTAAGTAACAGGAAGTCCCAGACTTGGAAATTGCTTCGGCTCAGTGCAACAGTCAGAGAGAAATAATAAAAAATAAAATAACGAATAAAAACACTTCTAAGGAATACATTTAAATTTAGAAAAGAGTTACGTTACTATTTACAATATACAAGTGCACATGGTTGCCACATGTAAGGTGACAGCAGTAACTGGAAGTAAAGTGACGTTATGAATGGGCCGTAAGTGACTTTATAAAGGGCGGGGGGACAGGTTAAGGAGTGTTCCAAGAGTCCAACGCGAGGGGAAGAATACTGTTCTTGTGTCGGGAGGTTCTAGTTCTGATGGACCGCAGTCTCCTTGCCTAAGGGGCAGTGGTTGGACTAGTCCATGTGCAGGGTGAGAGGGTCGGCTGTGATACGTCCAGCACGGCTCGAGCTCGGGCGACGTACAGGTCTGCAGCGATGGAGGCTGCGGCCCAATCACATTCCTCCTGCAGAGCGCATCAATGCGTGTAGTCTCTGTTTGTCCCTGACTGTGGGCTCCAGCGAACCACACCCCCGGTGAGGAGGAGGTGCGATGACTCGATGATGGCGTGTAGAACGGCACCAACATCTGTGCAGGCAGCTGCTTTCCTGAGCTGCCTGCAGGAAGTCATCTCTGCTGGGCCTTCTTGATGAGGAGCTGATGTCAGCTCCCACTTGAGTTCTGGGGTGATGGGGTGCCCGGGGAAACTGGAAGGGGAGAGTCCATCACGGAAGGGGGGGCGGGGGGACAGTGCTCTTCCATGAATTCCACAATCATCTACACTGTCTCCTGGGCGTTCAGATCCAGGTTGTTACCACTGCACCAGGACACCAGCCGGTTCCACCTACCTCCTGTAGAGCCGGACTCATCGTTTTGGAGATGAGTCCAATGCGGGAGTGTCATCCGCGGAACTTGAGCTGCTTCACAGAGTTGTGGCGGGAGGTGCTTGTGGTTGGTGTACAGGGAAAAGAGCAGGGAGAAAGAACACAGCCTGTGGGGATCCTGTATTTATTAACGAGATTCCGAGACATTCTTTCCCAGACGCACTCGCTGCTACAGTCCATGTCAGACAGTCAGTGATCCACTTGCAGGAGGAAAAACGGGCACGTTGTGGTGGGGAGCTTGTCCGGGAGCAGGGATGGAGGATGTGTTGAAAGGCAGAGCTTAAGTCCACGAACAGGTCCCTGGCCGTAGGTCCCCGGGGAGTCCAAGTGCTGTAGGAGTGGTCGGAGGGCCAGTTGATGGCGTTGTCTACAGATCTGTTGGCTCTGTAGGCGAACTGCAGGGGGTCCAGGGAGGGGGGAGTAGTGGGGCCTTGAGATGGGAGGACCAGGCGTTCAAATGACTTCATGACGACAGACGTAAGTGCTACAAGGTCTGTAGTCATTGAGTCCTGTGATCCTGGGCTTCTCGGGACGGGGGCAATGATGGTGGTTTTGAAGCAGGCCGGGACATGGCAGGGACTGCAGAGAGGCGTTGAAAATTCCGTGACACAGGAGTTAGCGCACTCGCGCAGTGTCTCAGAGTGGGCTGGAGACACTTGGTCCGTGCAGGAGTGTGCGGGGGTGCTGCCTCAAGAAGGAGTTGTTTAATATCTCTGTGCAGGGTCTTGGCTGCTTTCAGTTCGTCCTCTGAACTGCATATTTAGCTGGCTTTGTCAGCCGCTGCGGTCCCCCTCCCTGAAAAAGGCGACATGGACATGGCATCCATCCACTTACAGGGCACCTTGCCGTCTATAGGACCAGGGTCATAGGCTCTCCACCGTGCTGTCCCGGTGGGCTTAGCACGGTGGGTGGTGAGGATCCTTTCTTGCCAGTGTTATTCCTGCATGCTGGACACGCCACCTGCTAAGTGATAGCAAAGAGGAAGAAGGGATGAACGCCCCTACCGCATTGATTGCGCATACGATTTAATGAAACTTGAAAACTGACATTGCAAATGTTCCAAAAAGTTGACATGACACAATGTGTCTCTTCTGCGCTTCGGCATCAAGATCAAATAGTTTTGTTCAGATGTTTTTCAAGAACCGTAACCGTAATATTTTCTGGTAATGTTGATGTTATAATAGGACATAAGCCTTCCCCTTGATAACCAGGCTGAAAGGCGTGGAGCTCAGGACAAATGACAAATGGGACTCAATTTGGGCTTTGGTTACACCAGTTGCCCCTGCCTAAAGACGTTGCCTAAACCCGTTCCGTGATCCAACCGATTTTTCAGGGGTTCAGCCTCTTAAAAACTCAGCCGACAACTAGCTTGCTTGGACAACCATGGGTACTTCAAGTGACTCCCGCCAGCCATCATCAACCAAGGCAGACCCTCTCCCAGCCCTTTCCCTTATCTCTTATACAGTAAGTATAGAGGATCGGTAAACTCCGCTTGGGTGTGCTTTTCAAACTAAGTTAGTTCACCGACCTAGGAAAACAAATGAGAGTTCAGTTTGTTCCCCGTCCCAACTGTAAACCACTTCGGGCTCAAAACCAGAGATGAAAACTGTGACAATTCCTGCACCACGAGTTGCTGTAACAGAAAGCAAAAGGTACACAACAGGATAGCACTTGCTTTGACACAGTCAGTAATCCTGTAATGGTATGTGACTTTTATTTAGACTCCTTGATAAATGAGGTCCTTAATCTCAATGGACGTTCCTGGTTTATATAAAGTAAAAAAAATACATTAATATATATAGGTATATATATATATATATTATATATATTAGGGCTGTCCAAATTATGCGTTAATTCACGTTAAATTAACGTGTTCATTAACGCGTAAAAAAATAATTTTTAAATGCATTAATGCATTGACGTGTCAACTCTTGTTGGTTGTACCCAATAAAGTAGAAGGTTGTGAGCAATGTCAAAAACAGACTTTTAGCAGAGGCCGGGAAGACCTGCGTCCCAACAGAAAACTAGGGGAACTCAAGAGCCAATGAGAGTCAGGAAACAAATTCAAATGTAGTGACACGGAAAACATAGATGAGGGGCGCCACACAGACGGTTAGGCTCAAAAGTGAGAATTTTAACTAATTTGGATTAATATGGTAAATATATGGCCAGGACATGTAGGAGCATATAGGAAAAATATTTAGGCTGTGATTTAAGTAAAAAAAGTTGATTTGGTGTGTAGTTACTCTTAAGTACATTTCGTATGAATAAAAATGTGTCTATTACATTTGAAATCTGCATTTAACTTCAATTGGAGTGGATTTGAAATAGTAATGTTAACAAATGCGATTAATCGTGAGTTTTTCACCATTACTATGCGATTAATCAACTAAAAAAATTAATCGTTTGCCAGCCTCATATATATATACTATAGTCATATATTATACTTTAATATTTAATATTATATTATATTTATTTTTCTCATTTTTGGCATACACTAGGGGGAGCCCCGCGT